TTGGCTTCAAGCAACAACAGCATAGGCTGCAGCCCCTGCTGCAGTGGGTTGCCATGGGCTACCGTGTGTAGCCAGCAGCCAGCGTGAGCAGCCAGAAGCCAGCGACTGATCTGCCTCACACGGGAAGAGCGCAATGATGGTGCCAACTTGGGCCAGTGAAGCAATGTCCTCCACAACTAGACTGAAGAACGAAAGGACAGCAGCTTGTCTGTTCCCCTTCCCCCAATTCCCCAGCACTGTTCCCATCCCCCTAATTCCCCAGTAAAAATCTTTAAAAAAAAAAAATGATTCAGGACATCGAGGCAGCCACGACACTGCAACTGAAGATACTCATGAAAGAGGACTTCCAGAACTGCTTCAGAGAATGGCAAGAATGATGAGATAAGTGTTCGAAGTGCAGGGGGAGTATTTTGAATGGGATTAATGGCAATGTGTCTCTTACTATAATAGATTTTTCTTTTAATTTAAACATTCACTGTATGCTTTGATTACACCTCATAGAATCCACAGGTTTGGAGTGAGATGTGACCTAAACAACAAGATATATCCAGGTCAGTGAAGACCCGGGGCCACCACATGCCAGACAGGGAATAGGAGGTGCAAGACCCCAGGTGGAAATGGGGTTGGTTTGTTTGAGGAAAGCAGAGGCTTATGGCTGAAAGGTATGTGGGAGGAGATGAGGCCTGAGAGGTAGCGAGAGGCCACATCACTTTGGGCCTTTTAAACCATGGTGGAAATTTTGGAGTTTTATTCTAAATCCAGTGGCAAGTTATTGGAAGATTTTAAACGGGAGTGGCATCATTCTGCAATTAGACCAAGAACACACACATATTTATTCAGTCACCACAAGTATATTCTGACTACTCTCCCAAATATAACATTTTCTAAATGATGCATGCCAATGTGGTGTACTATTATGGCACTCATTATTTTAGAGTGACACCGACATGTTTATTTGAATTAATGCACTCAACAGTCTCATAGTGAGAACACGTTCACATGGAACAGGAACAGAGAAAGACAACAGGTATAAGGAGAGAATGGAATGAGAAGATAATGCCAAATATTGCTAATTTTAATTTTTAAAATATGAACAATGGGTGTGGTTTTGCAAAAACTGAGCCAAAATTCAGCGTTGGGGGAGGTATCCAAAGAAAGTTTCCCTGTCATGTGAGACAATGGCATGATTTCCCCCAAAGGCTGTGTCCCGATTCTCTTGGGATCCATGAAAGGTGCTGGCCCAACAACGTGCAGAGGATTCTGGGAAGAGTTTAAGAGAAGTTCAAGAGAATTGCAAATTAGGAAACTACTTCTAGATAAGAATCTGGGACATGATAGCCTGAAAATGTAGTTTTCAAAAAATGCCTCCATTAGACTCAAAAGAATAGTTTTAGGAGAGGGGAAAGTCTCAGTTACGGAACAAACTTTGACATAGTTGCCTATAGGATGCGATATGAGAGGCATTTCTGAGAGGATTTTCTATTCAAAAATGCCTCCCTACACGCCCTCACTGACCCCCAGGAACTTCTTAAAGTGCTTGGTAGTAAAATGTCATTCTGTTGGTTGGGCTGAGATTTTTGCCTCTTATCCTCATTTGGCAGGTGCATTAATAATCGAGTAACAGGAGCCCCATCTTACACAGAGCAAGCACCTCCTGTCGCACCTAACTCAGCACCCAGAGGTGCTTCTCCTTGGCCACGTGAGGGTATTGCAACACTTCGATGGACAAATCAGGTCTCTTCCTCCATGTTCCTTTCCCCATCCTCGGCAGACAACCTTGCTTCACAATTAAAAAAAAAATCAAGGCCATAGGGTATACACTTCTTGATTTTCCTGCCCTCTTATATCTACACATTTATCTCCCTCTGCCCATTTTCTGGGAATTGGTTCTTTCCAAGCACTGAGGCTGATTCAAGCCTCCTTCCATAATTATACTCTTGGTTCTGTTTTCTCTTTCATTAATTCCTTAATTATTTGCCTCCTTCTAAAACATTTTATTGAGCTCCTACTATGTGCATGCTGTTGTGCTTGATGCTGGGAATATAGCTGTGATAATTAAGATGGCCAAGGTGGTGTTTCCATTCTAGCAAGAATCTTCCTTATTGTATTTTTAATCTTTTTTTTTTTAAGATTTTTTTTGGGGAGTTGGGGGAATGGGAACAGTGCTGGGGAATTGGGGGAAGGGGAACAGACAAGTTGCTGTCGTTTTGTTCTTCAGTCTAGTTGTGGAGNTGTTCAGCATCTTAGCTGTAGAGGGCAGTGTCACTGACCCTCACATGTGGGATCTGAACCGGGGCCCTCTGGCATCCCAAGCCAGTTCTTAACCATCGCGCCACTCGGCCGGCCCAATGATGATAGTATTTTTTTAAGAAAAAGTAAAATGTCTTTCCAGGTTATAAAGTCACCTGCTTCTTTTAGTACTTGATAAATGAGAGCCAAATTAAAATTACTTATAGTTTAATGAACTACTTTACTAATATATTTGCCAGATGAGAAAGTTACTTCAATAAAAGTTGTGACATAAATTTATACATTTTTTATGGTGAATATGGCTCTAAAGTATTTTTATATTATTATTTGATTAAATAACAAAGTTATTTGATTCAGATAAAATCATTGGCTACCCCTTAAAATGAATATGAGCCTACCCATGAAAAAGCAAAATTGATAACGTGAATAAAAGTCAGAAGGGAATTACACTACATGGTTAACTGGCTTTCTGTAGGGAACAGGATTGTGGAAATGCAGTCTAACTTTTATGCCAAGTATAAAAATGATTTAGTTATAAAGATTACATTTTTGTTACTTTTATTTCATTATTTAATTATTTAATTGTTATAGTATCAAATTAATTATAATTAAACAGCATGTTAGAATTTTGATATTAAGGTAGAACAGAAGTATATAAATACATAATGCATAATGAATATAAACATAATTTATAATTCTCTAGACTATCAAAATGGTAATTAACATGCTGTTTGAATATTACAAAACAAGCTAGCACTTTAAAAATTAATAATAAGTGCATTACAATTAAAAGAACTACTTTAAAGGGGGATTCAGGTAATTTATGCTCTGCTTTCTTTTAAGTTGCCAAATGATAGAGTGTAAAAGTGATAACTTTCTAAATACCATTGCTGTAAGCAAGAATATATTTGGTTCCTGCTATGTGAAAAGGAGCCAAATGTAATGATTGTGGTCTGATTCAAGGACAGAGTGTTGATGACATCATTTCCATAGATGGACAGTGCCACAGCTGGCTCTGTCAGTCTAGGAAGAGAGCTCACTGAAAAAAGACCATGAAGTAATTCGCAATTCAGAGGCAATATTTTAAAAGAAGTGAACTGGAAGTCTACTCGTGAAAGTCAAAGGGAACCTTGTATTTTTTTTTCTTTTTAATATTTTTGTTTCTTCAAAGTACAACCATACCAGCTTGCATAGTCCATTAAGAATTCAGAAAAAAGTGACACAGTAGTAAGAATTCTGTTTTTGGAGGGAGACCTTGGGGAGGGAAGGGAATTATGTGTCTGGAATTTAAACCTACATTGCTAACTTCGTGTAAGAAATGTGTTCCAGAGATATTTATTAATTATCTGTTCCCTCACAATGTCAGGTTGACAGCATGTAAGTGCATGAGTCCCAACGGCATGAAACCAGAGTCAGAATTCCCACCCTCCTTGGCTCAAAGAAAACACAAAGTGAGGAGCATTCAATGGACCAATAACCTGGCCAAAAATCCATTCAGTGCATATTTAATTTTCTTATGACATTTTAGCTACAAATGATTTTTTGATACTGTGTATCTATCTCCTCACCCCTTTTCTAGTATGCCCAAAATGTGTCCTTTGACTTCCTATGTACAATAACAAAAGAGAATTCAACAGATACCTGAGTATCTACCAAGTCTTAGAAACTGAGCTAGGGGTCAGGGATGCGGAGAATGAAACCATGTATGTTCCCAGGTTTCTTATCTGGTGGAGATTTATGAACAAAATAGCATGCGCAGTGTTAGAAACGTAATAGATGTAAGCATTTCCTTTTGGTCATAACATTTCTGCCCTGTGTACTCTTGGACTGGGGCGAAGATCTGTAAGAAATAAATCTATGCCAGAGTATCTCTCCTTTTTTATTAGGTTTCAGTGGTAAGTGTGATTTTCTATTGGGGTATATGTTTTCATATTTGTGCCTATTGCCTTCTGTTTCACCTCTGTATTGTGGGCTTTCCTTAAGACAGGCCACCACCCTGCTACTCCAAGTCAGTCAGGGTTTTACCAAACCTCTCCCTCCATCTCTGCCTGGCCAGGTCACCTACAGATTCATGTTGCCTATGTGGTTTTTCAGACGACGTCTGAAAAGTGATGTCTGTGTCAGAAAGAATTCACCTTCCCTACCTCCTGCTTCCTTCTTCCCAGTTTCCCAAATTGCAGTACCGTTCACCTCTTGGTGCTGCAAAGCAACAACCTCCTAAAATAGAATGGCATCTCCTTTCTTCCCGTTCCTCTCCCCTTTCCACCTTTGTTACCATTATCAGTATCTGTGTTTCTTTCCTTCTTTCAAACCTCAAACAAATAAACTTTTGGAAGGTTCTCCTGGTTTGAACTCAAAACTCTTTTCCTTCCTGGAGCCAGTTCTTTCAAAATTACTGCTCAAGTTACTTAATACTAACCAGTTACATTTTTACAAAACTACTAGGACGCCAAATATTTTAAGAGACAGTTTTAGCAGAACAATGGTAACATTATTTCAGACAGATGTTTGTTAATAATTATATATTTAAATTAATAATTTTCCATATTCATGTTTCTATTCCCTGTCCACTCAACATAATGATATTAAAATTAATTCTAATAATTGTTTTAAAAGTAAGTTGATAAGGAACAGCTCAGAGTTGAACTTTACCATGTATTTAGAGATGTTCTAGTTGTCCAGACCTTTACTTTTCCTTTCTTCAAATCCTGGAACCACATAAATAAGCCTATTGAATCTTATGGTGTACAAGAACCAAAATCGTATAAAAGGATCAGATGCTACTAAATTCAACTGCTACTTTTCTACAGATTTATCTACTTACCTATAAACCAGTACTTTTCTTTTTGCATTATATTCTTCTGAACAACTTTACAACAAAATGAAGCTGGAGATGCTTTGAAGTTGTTTATTTCTCCCATGACTGATTAAACGATAGGTGTTCCCGTTTGATGGCCAGGTACTTCCATCTTGTGGCTCCACCATCCCCAAGGCCTGCTGTCATCTGCATCAAGCCTGAAGAAAGGGACAGCATGGAGGAGGTATGTCTGCTTTTTCAAGGCCTCAGCCCTGGAAGTGGCATGCCTCACTTCTGCTCATATCCCACCTGCAAGAGCTAGTTACGTGGCCACCCCAAGACACAAAGGAGGCTGGGAAATGTCATTCCTGGCTTGACATCACTTCCCACTTATCACCATATCACAATTGGTGGGAAGAGTGGGGTTTGGGGGACCACTGCTCTCTCTACCATGTATAGAGCGTTTGGAAATGTTAAATACTTATAACCCCTGCAGTAGAGACTACATTTAACTCGGTTAAGTCAGACTGAGGGATAGATCAAGAAAGGTGTTAGGGAGGAAATGGCATTTGAGCTGTGTCTTGACAAAGAAGAGTGTAAGCTAACCAAGTGAAGAAGAGGACAACGATTTTAGGCAGAGAAAACATGCAAAAGATAAGGAAGTATAAAGGAGCATGGTCTATTAGGAGCACAGAAGTAGTGCTGTGGAAGTTGGTTGTATTGTGGAGCCATAAGAAGATGAGCCAAAGATGTGGTTAAAGAGCCTTTAGATTTGAAGGAAAACTTGTGTGTTCAGGAGATTTTTATAATGTATGAGGTGTGATCAAAACATGGTGAATGTTTAAGTAAAAATTTATTACAGTAAAAGACACTTTGCCATTAATCCCCCTCAAAATACTCCCCCTCACTTCGAACACACTTATCCCATCATTCTTGCCACTTTCTGAAGCAGTTCTGGAAGTCCTCTTTTGTGAGTGTCTACTTCATCCTCCATCATGACAATGCTCCTTGTCACACATCACTTCTCATAGGACAATTTCTGTCAAAAACATTACAGTGTGTCCTCATCCCTTATTCACAGGATCTAGCACTGTACGACTTCTGGCTCTTCCCCAAATTCAAAATGATTCAGGGGCTGGCCGAGTGGCGCGATGGTTAAGAACTCGCTTGGGATGCCAGAGGGCCCCGGTTCGGATCCCACATATGAGGGCCAGTGACACTG